GTTAGTAAGAACTAACAGGCTGTACAGCGAGATGTTTAAGATTCGGTCGTGTTATCTTGCAGGAGCGGCGTTGTTTATTAACTTGATGTGTCTTTTAACCGCGCGCATTCCGACCGATGGATGGCCAAAGATTAGATGCTGCGGCCGACGGTCCAGTACTGTAATGGTGTATTACATTTATTATGTTACTAGCTGTCCGCGTGGAATTTAACATTACTTTTCTAAAATAAAAGTAGCCTAAGTTACTCTTTATTATATCGGCTACCTGCCAAAAAAAGTTCCGTCAAAATCGGTACAGCCATTTCAGAGATTAGCCGGAACAAACAGATAGACAGACAAAAATTGTGAAAAATGTTATTTTGGTGTATGTATCGTATTTATATTTGTATGCATGTAGTAAAAAACGGTTATTTCAATATTACAAACAGACACTCCAATTTTATTTATATGTATAGATTTTCATAACACCAATCTTTGAGATTTTTTTCTCTGCTACAAAAATCAATCCACCATGTAACGAGAACAATATATATGATTTTTTAATAGAATTAGATGTTATTTTGCGGAAGTCCATTTCGCTACTTGATGGATTTTTAGCTGCAAAGTCACGGTTTGGTCGCCGATGAGTCAACACTAGGCTTCCGAGCTGTACCCGAACTCTATTTAACGCCTGATGATGCCTCGTTCAGAGGCGAAACACGTGTCGCAATATGGGTGTAGACTTAATAACGGTCGGAATTTGATCGCCACTAGAGAAGGTCGTAACGGTAGTCAAGTTTCCACACCAAAAATTGAAAATGGAGATTTCTAACGTCAATATATTCGATGCGTTGTCTTAAATTCTAATTATATATTTAACTTGTTTGGTATAGATAGATAGGGAGGTCAATAATTATTTTTTTATGTAATACTAGCTGATCCGCGTAACTTCGTCTCCATCACACCTGACATTTATCATTATATTTCACCCAATTTACATAATATCTTTTTTAATTATAGCCTGATGTATAAGCTATATTGCAGTAAACTTCCATCTTCAGTAGTTCTTGCGTGAAAGGGAAATAAACATCCATCCATACTCAAAAAGTTTCTCGTTTATAATATTTTATTTTTTTATTTTATAATATTTGAGATACAAACAGTTTCACAATGTAGTATGTATATAAGTACATAGATATGAATTAATAATAGTAAAACCAATACAGATATCCACGGGTTAATACTTATGTTATGTTACTCTTATTATTATATACATTATTTATTTACTGGTTTCTACTTAATATGTCTAATAGGGTTTTTTTAAATTTAAAGTATGACAAATCAAATATATCTAAATCAGGAAATTTGGTGTTAAATACAATACAATATAAATAAGATATGTATCTAATTTAGAAGCTGTGACAGTTGTTATTTGCTGGTAATTTGTATTGTGATGCTCAACTGATTTTAAAAATTAAAATTGTCTCAAATTTTTTGAGCCTACCATTATAATTAAAAATAATACTATTTATATTTTACTTTTGATTATGATTGTTTTAATTTGATACCAATCACACAGAATATCAAATAACGCTACTCGCCTTTTCTTAAAAAAACATTAACTGAAGATTTCCTATTTTTCTTCACTGAATCTGCACTCCGAGTATCCGAGTTTCTACCGTTAGGTAAAATTTAGTTATATGTATTTGAATAAAAATATTTTTTAAATTATTATTTATAATATATTCAGAATGCCAGATCCTTTTAAACGGTCTTGAACTTAGTGATGTTGTCATCATGATTAAATTAATTTGCTAATAAAGTTATTGTTTTTTTTATCGTGGCGTCTCTTTAATCTCTAATCTATTGATAATCTATTGATTTCGGTACTGATTATATGAATACAAATGTTGCTATTCATTACTATACTACACAAAGATTCTCTCCTTCTAAAAATTCAAAACATAATGGATAATTCAAGAGTAAATGGATTCCCCATTGTCAGAATTATCTTAAAATAGATTAAATTCAATCAATAGTTTAGATTTTAGCTCAGTTTAGTCATGTCGTAGGTAGTGTCGTTGAAGAATAAGTCATTGCACAATTTTTTCTTTGAAATGAAACGTAATGACGAATAATTGACATCGTCATAATAGATTGATTATATCAATATTAGATTGATACAATCAATCTATATGAAGTAAAACAAATAATCATTAGAAAAAGTATAGGTACCTAATAAGAATTTAATTGCTTATGTATATTAAAAATTAAGACCTTCCACTGATTGTATTTTGTAATTTGCAATTTGAAATTACTGTGGTTTTCTAATTGAGGATAATTAGTCAATTAATTATTTATAATGAACTTGTTTGCAATATCCCTTGGTAACAGGCTTGTTAATCCCTAAGATAATGATGTTACTTAAGACAATAATATTATTTACAAGTTAGTTTATCGTACGATGTTTATCTTTCACACGTTATCCATGCACGAACGTTTTCACTGAATTGCTGTTGTAGATATTTTATCTGAAACTTAATGACAATTTGTTATCTATTCGCAATTAAAGCACAGGAAAATGAATAATATGTAATTTTGCTTCAGAACGTAAAATTGTAAATTAATAATCCGCTCGTAACGAGAATTGTGGGGATATTGTATACGATCAAATTATGCCAAGACTGTATTTTAAATCTATACCTTCTTCTTGTTCCGACCTTATCCCATTTCCATTTGGGGTCGGTTCTCGTAATCTGCCTTCTCCAGTGGTGTGTATTCTGGACTGTTGCCAGCTCTATGTTGCTGTTGTCCTTAAGGTCCTTACTAACTACTGACATCCACGTTAATTGGGGTCGGCCACGCTTTTTCGGTCCTGAATTGAGGTCGAGAACTTTTCTTGTCAAGTGGTCTTTGAATTTTTCCCTTTATGTAGGCTGGCATCCTTGGGTCGCAGAGTACTTCTGACAGATCTCTCCATTTTTGCCATCCTGCATTCTTATGGTGCGTGATATCTTTGTCGATGCTGCCGTCGTTAGTTATTACACTGCCCAAGTACTTGAAACTGTCAACGGTTTTGAGCTCGGTGCCTTGGAGTAGCATGGCATGCTGGATATTGTCGTTGTTGAAATTGCTGTGCTGTGCTGTGTATTCGTCTAATGATATAAACCTATTGAGATCATTAGACGTATTGGATTAGATGAATTTTAATTCTTTTCAACTTTACTATACAATCTATGATAATAATTATCAAATCAGTTAATTAATGACTGGACATATCACATATAACCATCTTGTCTCGAGCTGAGTTCTGCTTATGTTATGAGTAATAAATAACATTTTTAATACTAATCAACTATATATTGATAACAACCAGCTTTATTTAAATAGACATGGTCATTATATATAAATATTTGCACTACGAGATCGAAACAACGACCACTGGATAATAACGAATCGTATCGAATACACCGCAAACGTGTACAAATTATAAAACATAATTTAAATTAATGAAGATAAATCTAGTTTACATTAATATAATGGATTTTTATATGTATACTAGTGGCACGACTTAAATAGCTAATTATTGTATAGTTGTTTGATAATGTAACGATAACAATTAATTAATTAATGAAATTGTATGGACGTATTGAATATATTAATAATATTAACTTTTTTCCTCTTGTGATCGTATTTTTCTCAGCTTTTTTAACTTTATATAAGTTATATTTAACAGCATATTCTGTGCAAATTTTACTAGTATTATAAAAGTAGAAAAAACTACTGAATGGACTTTAATGGAATTTTAAAATAATAATAATGAGTTTCATTAAAATTAAGCTACATAGCTTATACATCAGAATAACACATAGGCTATAAATTTACTAGAAACTAGTAATGATTGCGGGTGAAACCGCGAGCACAGCTAATTTCATCATAATCCTCCAGCTTTGAAATTTTAACACGTGAAACCTTATTACAGTTTTCTCTAGTCACAATTAAACTATATGTTTAGATAAATAGGATGTAAAAAATCGTGCAAGTCAAATGTTGTCTCACAGAGGACAGTAGCGGATAAGCATTAATGTAGTAGGGCAGGCGTCACGTCTGTGACTAGCTTTGTATGTGGGTATGGGCGCGGGTGGCGCCGCACGCACACACACGCGCGCACCTGACGCCGCCGGTGGCGCCAGTCGAGCCCCGCGGCCCGCACGTCGCGCCGCCGCCCGCACTGGGTTGCCAGCTCAGAAATGTTGCAATCATTTCAGCTAAATTTATTAACATAATAATTCCTTATTAAAAAATCGACAAATATAAACCTTATAATTAACGCTTTTGACTTCTTATTTCAAGCTTCGAAGATTTCTTATTTAAGTATTGAAATTAAAAACACTTTACTTTAAAGAATATGTAAGAGCTTTGTAAAATTTGAAATGGGGTAATCTTTTAATTGCGGTAAATTAGACGAAAATCATAGCAATTAAACTATTTTCCGATCTGACGGTTGATACTCTTCTGCTGTTACAAGTGCCAGTTATTCTCTCTTATAATATATTAATTTTACCTAAAATAGCTTCCTATTGTAAAACCACCTTGTACTTTTTTTCTACAATATTTTTTTGTTTTAATAAAGCAAAATATTATATATCCATGTTGCAGAAGAAAATGAATGATCTCCCAGTACAACTGACTTAATTTTTTTCGCAAACAAAGTAAAACCATTCCAACTCGTAATTTACTTTCACTAATTATAGTTTTTTATATTGTATCTACATCTTCATAAAATTGTACCTATATCCTTTGAATAGTTTTACTATAGTAATATTTATATATTATGGCAGTATGTAAATGACTTAATTCAAAAGTGCTTATATTAATTTTGAATTTTATTTCAACATAGACAATTTTTATTATTTTCTCTACTGCTTAATGAAATTGTATATCCTCTGTAAAATTTCAGTATAATCATATTTCTGATAATATTATTGCCTGAATAAGTAAATAAAAAGCATAGCATCTAAGTCAAAAGTCCTTACCTACCTGTATTAAATTTATTTCAACATAGATTATTTTTATTTTTTCCACACAATATTGCAATGGGGTAAATATAGTTCACAGATAATTTCCATTCTCTTCCAAAATTTGGCACAACGTTGCAGTGGGGTAAATATGTTCTGAAGCAGGCCTCACCGATCGCGTCACTGCACCGGCCGTCCAAAGCATACGTTGATCAGTCGAGTGCCCGCACGCGGCCAGTGATGACGTGTCGCAAACGTGTTGGTGTCGCGTGGCGCGGGCGGCCGCGCGGCTCGTGACCGTCGCCGGCATGTAATGTTCCGGAGACGCGCGCTGCGGCGGCGGCTGGCGTTGGCCGGCGCGGCCTCCGTGTCCGACGACCAGCTGCGAAAGTTGGCCACCATCCTCGACGCTGGCGGCGGAGACTGCGTGCCGGCCGGGCCCAACACCCAGCTCCAGATCGCCGTCACTCGCTTCCGATTCCCTGAACTCCGCGAGCTGACCGAGCTCCGCCGGATGCCGTGCTGCAAGGAAAGGCAGTGCTGCAACCCTTACCACTGGAGCCGCCTCTGCAAGCCTGGTACGTCGGCCGTTGACCCGCGCAACAAGTGCATTGTAAACACGAGTGTCGAATCTATGCGCAGCGCAACTCGGGCCACTTCGCTAGTGTATTCGAAATAGATTGTGTTTCAACAGAATTGAACGGTTGTGTATGAAATTGTTTGTGGAATGGATGGTGCGAGACGTCGTAAGTGAGGTTCTAACCCCTGCACAGAATGCTCGGATTGGTTTTTTCTACTGGATTTTCAACACCTGAATTTCATGACAGTAATATTGCGTTCATCAATCAGGAAGTGTTCAATCTACCCATAGAATCATCTGGTACCGTTTGCATTCAGCCGGTGGGACTTATTTTACAATTTCCAGCGAACGGATGATATGGGTTTCGTTATCAGCGCTGGCGGTTATCAGTTTATCACTACTGTTTGTTTCTCTAATCGTTACGTCCACTGTGACGTCACCACGCTCCCGTCACACAGTCCCGTCTCCAGCTCCACTCGTCTTCGCGAAAACCACTATCCGCAGAATAGATTGTGAAGTGTAAACATTTCCGCTTTACGCTCTATTTTTAGACTCTGACATCAGTTTAGCAGTGTTCTTTAAGTTTTATAGGATTAGGTATTTTAAATGTCAAGACAAAATTCACGAGTCCCATTAACTTTGTGAATACTAAATTCTGCAAGGTACCTAATTTTTACATTCGTGTTTGGATAAAATATCTGCATGTTACGGATGTATTTTTAGATGTGCGTTGTTGTGAACGGTATACATTAGGAAGGCGTGAGGTGTAGAAAGAGTGAATAGCTATCACCTAATCTGGTGTTGAGGGTCACTCGATGTCGGCCCGCGATAACTAGACAAGGTCACGGCGCTGGCGCCGACATGGCGCGACGCCCGGCGCGCGCACCCGTTAGCTTTTAATTCGCGACTCGCAAAGCGAGTTGTCAGTCTTTGTTAGGTAAATGCGTACATTCCATTACCCTACGCGGTGTACAGAGGGCCGTCTATTTTTGTAATTCATACCATAAACACTGAAGTAAATAAGTAGGAACAAGCAAGAACACCTTTTGCAAGTGAAGCAACCTTTGCTGGAAATGTTAATGTCGTTTCTCCATACGTAGACTATTCCGTTCGTATTTTGTAACCGTTTGAAGGTATCGAGTATATAACTATCAGCGTATATAGATTACTTAATATAGGTAGTAATGTACGTGAAGCAATTAAAAATGCATACCATAAAATGGTGTTTGGAAAAGTAAATTATTCATGTGAAGATGTATAATTTTTGACGGCGCTGATGCCTGGCCATGACTTCGACTCACACGCAGTTCAAATCGCCTACAAACATGCTCCCACGCCGTAGTACCTATGTTGCTTAGAAGCGATACGTAGGTGTACTGACAATGCCTGTTAGCATATTAATTAAAAAGAAAGGCAACAAAAATATGAATATTAAAGTTTCCTATTGCGGCAAGATGGCGGCGTCTTTGGGCCGCATGTCGAGATTTGATCACTGTTCTATAATAATCACGACCATAAATGATGATGCAATTTAATGTTAGACGTGTTCTGATCACTTATTGTAATAGATAATCATGTTTCATGGAATTACGGATTATTGCAGCGTTATAAAAGCTTACGCCAATACATTATCGCAGATAAGTAAAACAATGGGATGATTCGAAAAAAAACATTTTTAGGACGATAGGTCTACAAATATAATAACGGGGAAATTGTCATAAAAATTTTGTCGTGGCCTTTTGTTGGCTTAGCCTAATTCTATTAAGTATACAGTAGAACATAGAATCAAAAATCAAATCGAAATATCCTTTTCATGTAGGTATTAATGGAATAGCATTAGTCCGGAATGTAGTTTGATCAGAAAACAACTAACAAGAAATACCTGATTCTTCAGAAAGAAAGGAATTTGAATTACTGAAAGCTGTACACGGTTAAGTTTATCTATTCCTGTGTTTATTTATTACATATACTTCTCTTCCATGTTTTGGAAGATAATTTAAATCTACTGGATTGGAAATAGATATGGTGTAATCATTCTTTTCGATTTGTCAACAATAAACATGATAAAGATCTTGGTGATCCAAACATGGTCTCTCTCTAATAACTCTCTAAGCTTTGGATAGGTTTCGATTTACGTTATCTTATCATCTTTATTTTGATCTAGTGCTGAACTGTTCTAGTTCTTTAACTAATTTACAGATTAGTAAAAGAATAAATGTTTAGTAGAGTGAGAAGCAACTCTCTAATTTTTCAATTTTCCTTCCTAGAAATCAGAATCAAATGTATGCTTTTTAATTTATCCAGCTACATTTAACTTCATGAATTTGTTTTAAAGTTAAAACAAGTTCATGAAATTTCTGGAAAGTTGCATTTTTACTCCTCAAAAATAAGTTTATAAGTTGATACGACTTTTTGACTATTAAATTTGCATCAAACAAAATGAAGATCTCACATGAAAACGCAAAATTAACACCTGTATCCGTCTACGTCCGATAATTTGGCACGGATCACCTGAGCGATTTTTTTTGCGGCGCAACAGTCTGATGTTGTGCGGCTCCTTCACTCTGTCTGACGACGGTTTTTGTCAACTTTCGCGGCGAGTTCCCACAACCAGACACACTAAATATAGTCGCCTGACGCCGACTTTTTTCGGTACTTTTGATTTGTGTGCAATTTGACTGATCGTGTCTTATGCTGTAGTCATAATTTTCACTTTCTTTATTTTTATTGTGGATACCGATGAAGTCTTCCTTCGCTGTATAATTTATGCTTATGATTGTAGTGGGTAAAGCAATGTTTTGAAATTTATGTCTTTTATTATTTCCTCAACACTCATAGTTATTATTTTAAGAGGAGATGTGTCTGGTAGCTTTATTTTGCGAACTAAATTCTCATGAATCACAGGGAAATATTTGTGTATTAAAATAATTAAAACGTTATTCATAATGTTACAATCTCGTTAATGTTCGAGTTCATGGCGTATATCCGCACATCGGCGCCAATCACTGCTCGGCGGCGGCCTCTATTTCTGAATGTTTTTATACAGCCGGCGCTTACGGGGTGCGGGAAGGGGACGTTATCTTATCGCGCTCAGGCGGCGGACCGACGCCGTGCGCTCGCAGGATCAAAGATTGCCACGAACCTCGTGCGAGGGACGTCGCCAATCCGTTAATTAGCTAAATTGTCATGTTAGGACCATTAAAGAAATCAGTCACCCACGAGCGGCAATCAAAACCCACATCCGCATCGAGCGTGCGTTATCACCGACTTCGTAACCATCATTTACAAGTAATTTTGAGCCCACACGCCATTTCACCAGCACACTACAAGAGGGGTCCAAAAGTTAATGATGTCGTCTAGATATATCCGTATAAGCATTCATCTGTTGATGTTAGCGACGCGTCGGAGGCGGCGGCATGGCCGATATTTATTTAGCCATAATTGCTTGTCGGCTGACTGGCGCCGGCGCCATGTCGCGCCGAGCGGCTGCGGGTGTGACGGGGGGCGGGAGGGGAGGGAGCGACGCGGCGGGCGTTGTGCCTGCGCCGGCGCAGGTACGCCGCTCGCACTGCGTAAGCTCAACTTGATTTTCGTGATCGGTTTTTTTTGTTTTATTGTAGTCTGGTCATGTTTTTGGGCTGCTTTGTTGAATTTGTGAATGGCTGATCATAACGCCCGTTGACTGAATAGGTTTGCAATTTAGTATCATACAAAAACTTGTTTATTGTCTGTCGTCTTATGTGTAATCTTGTTTTTGTCAACTTGTTTATAATTCTCTACATTGTTAATAATGGTCGTAGGTTGCTTGTGTTTTTTAATTGTATCCTAATGAGAATGTCACTTATGCTAATAGTGGGTTAGTATAAAGGCCCTGTACAAGTTTGTTTCTTTAATTTAGAACGATTGATTAGCATGTTTTTGCAAAGGCCGTGTAATAAAAGAGCCCATTGACTGGCGGCACTTGTGACAGAACCGGTTGCTCCCGGCCACGGCTCTTGCAAAACTGGAAAAATTGTCTTTATTAGCTAGTGGAGTGACGGGGCCGCGTCGGGCGGCGCGGCGACGGCGACGGTCAGCGATCGGTCAATTCCTCGCTCGTTACCGCCTCTAAACAATTTGCTGCTGTTTTAACGCTCATTTGTTTTTGTCGCTACCTCTCCTCATTTAAATTCTTGACGATATCATCATTTTTAAAATTAGAATTTGATTTACAATTATCTGATTTCGTTGCGTTGTTTTAGAGTCTCTTCGCTGTATTAGCTATCAATAAGTATAGGAAATTGTGACAGAGTGGTTAAGCTTACGCAATGTTTAGAATGGATGTTTAATTTTAAGCGTAGATAAATAGATCCCAAAGTTTTACAATAATATTATCATAATTCGATGAGTAATTCTGTTGAATAATCACTGTTAATGCAATTGATTTGTATTGTTTGTATTTACGGTTTATTAGAACCTCAATAACCAATATACTATAATCATTTTGCGAGGAAATTTCTTTTATGACTTCCATTTCAAATTTACACAGAATCTTTAGTGTTTCACACTGAAATCTGTTAAATATACTAGCAATAATTGAGATGTTTCATGTAACTGGAATAATTCTAATTTATGGTACATAGTGTTACATAGTATGTTGCTTTATTTGTACATCATTAATATTTATACAACAGTCTCAACTGAGATACAGATTATTGATTCTAATTTTTTTCTAATAAAAATAATTTGACATTTCAACCTAATTATTGACGGTTTACTGCATTCTTAGTATTGCACGTTTTCAAACACTGTTCAGACTTGTTCCATTTGATTATAGGTAAATAGATCAATAGAATAACCTTACATAATCTCTTTCTTGTTTTTTATATCACTCTAAAACATAGTCTAATATGCTAACTGGAATTTGGAATATGGGTTCAGTTTAGAAGAATCCGCTACGATAGGGTTTTTGAAAATTTCCTAAAATTTGGAATATAGGTTCAGTTTAGAAGAATCCGC